CCCCCCTACCCCTATTCTCTGCAGATCTCATGTTTCAGAGCTGGCGTCTGGCTGGCTGTTAGGGTGGAGAGCCCCATGGTCTAGCTTCAGAACCACCCACCCTGAGAGGCTCCCACCCTGGGAGAGGAGCCCCACCTTTGGGGGGCAAGTGGTATCCAGCTGTCCACCCCTTGGGCCTCACAGCTGTGAGCACTGGCCTTGGATTGTGGGGGCGTTGAGTGGATGTGGGGTGCAACAGGCAGTTTCCTTCTCTGATCCACGGGGCTGAGGGATGGGGGGCTTAGAGATCTGGACCTGGGCCCTCACTCCTTGAGTGGAATCTGGGGGCCAGGGGGCGGGGACATCCTTCTGAACCAGACACTGTGTGACCCGTGAGGACACAGAGGCAGAAATCAGGGCCCAGGCGGGGACCAGAGCTGGACAGAGAGGATGGGGCTCCCCTCCCCCCAGCCTGGGAACCACTTGCTGGCTGGCTGGCTGGGCCACCTCGGGGACCAGAGTTCAAAACAAAGTGAGTGACGTTTTCAAGCCACAGCCGAGGAAGCCAGGGTTGCCATGGCAGCCCCCAGCACCACCTCCTTCCTCCTGGCGCAGATGGCAGCCAGCTCAGGGCCGTCTCCATGGCGGCAGCGCCAGGCCTGGCCCTCGGCTCTGTTGTCAGAGAACCCGGAGCCCTGAGGTCCTGGGTGTCAGACTACGTCCCAGCCTGGCCAGCAGATGCCCAGGGGTCCTCAGTGGTCGAGGGTCCAGGTTGTGCCAGGAGGGTACAGTTCATCCTTCTGCAGCCACGGAGAACCACGGCCCCTAGGGAGCCTGCACCTGTCCTGGGGGCATCGGTGGTAGGGTGTGGGGGAGTTCAGCTGGGGCTGGGTGCCACCTGTCCCTTCCTCCCTGTTGTCAGCAGAGCCCCTGAGCTGAGGGGTCCCCGGAGGTGGGGGCCTGGGGGGAGTGGGCTCCAGCCCTGGGGGCTCTTGGGACAGGCTCTCGGTGCCCTTTCCCTATGCACAGCCCTGTTCTGCCTCCTCGCCTGGCCCGAGTAGTGGGGTGGGAAGGAGAGGCCCAGAGGGCAGCTGGGGTCTGGGCTGTGTGGTCCTCCAGGGGGACCCCACCCTCACCAAGTGTCAGCCCCCAGTC